CCATACGATTATATAAGGTGCTTATCACATTATAACTTTTTATTTGCTAAAGTACACATAGAAGATGCTCGTGAGGTGATTTAATGGGAAGCCAGAAAGGAAAACACTTGAAGCTGCTGTTAAAGTGTTTGGCAAACACATCATTCTGAGCGTAGCAACCTTAACCTGTTTTAATAACTATCACATCGTATTGAATAGCAATTTCCAGAAGGAAGCCACCGGAAAGAGTGCCCAAGTGACCAACCAAATCAAAATAGAAATCAAAAAGATTTTTAAAAAGTAAATAGTAAAATGTCAGCTGAAAAATACTATAGACAAGGCAAAATGATTCGTCGGATGTTTGTGCCTGGCGACAAAACAAATTAAGTATAGCAATTCCCCAGCTGAGAGCCCCATTATCACGAACAGCCAGTTTACCAAAGTTAAACAAGGCAAGAAAACAAACATGGTTACTCACGTTGTTGGCATGCCATGGCCAGGTAGCATTCCAAGCATCATATTTCCTGGTATCTGAGGTCCCCCAGGGCAAGTTAAACCCACCATTCCGCCGGCCCCGAGTTGTACAGCAGATCCGGCTTGGCTGGCTTCTTCTGAGTCCGGTTGGTTTATGGTCAGACATTCATCGCCATGAAATAGACGTAAAATGTCGCCACCAACAACCATACCTACAATATGAGGAAAATACGACAAAGGGGAAATAAATTAGGTTTAAGGTGATAGCAAAACAGCAGATATAAAAGGAAATTATGACAAATAACTGAAACATGGAAATACTTAAATAATTCTTCGAAAATAAAAGCTAGAAGAAAAGCAATATATAAACAAATAATTTAAATAAAAAGGAATAAATGCGTCAATTAGTGTTTGTTTTCACAACTTGATCGAAGAAAAAGGGAGACCTTGCAAAACGTTTGTTGTTCTTCGACGTTCAGATCGAAGAAATTCACCAGATATGCTTTCTCGTTTTGCATTAAAGCGAGATAGGCTTTCGGCCATCATCTCCAAAGCTGGGATAAACTTTTCCAATAGCTTTAAGGAGACTAGCGGGCTCTACCCTGTATACTATATATGCTTAGCACTAAAAAAATATGGAGATATGGATAAAAGGATATAGAATGATTTGGCTGGTTTATTCTCCCGTTAATCAAAGTTCACCGTACAGCTATTAGCTAAAATGGGAACTAAGCAATAACCTATTTTAAGTATTAGCATCTGTTCCTAGAACTTACTATCAAATATGGATCTAGAACCTCTTGATGCCCTTTCAGGGTGAGAGCTAGTCTAAATGGCTTCTTTAACCGGAATTATAGTGTATCTAGAGGCTACATCAAAACTTACTGTTATATCTTCCTCTGCTAATCAACAAATTTTATAAATACCTAAGAGTTTTTAATTAAATATAGGCCAAATTCGTCCACTTTTATTAATTGAATTCATAAAAAGCATGACATTTTACGCATCACACTGCCTTTATTATTTGCAATAAATCTAAGAGAAATCCCCTCTTTGTACACCTTTGGAATGCCGTATAGCTTGGGGGCCCTAGGATCTCATTAGAGCAATGAATTAATTTCCCCATTACGTATTAATGGTACGTCAGCTACCAAACACAAGATTAGATAGACTATTAAAATTAATAGATTGGAGAAAATATTAAATGTAAAAAATGAAGGTAGGAAGTTGAGTAGGAACTAATTATACTTGATGGATAGATAGAAGGAAAGAAAGGATGCTGGGGTTAAAACCAAAAGGCGAGTTGAAAGATCAGCTCATTTATGGTTTTACCTACATCCACAATTCTGTTAAGCTCATCAACCTAACCAGATGTATGAGATTACGTAATCCCAATCATGCCTTTCGTTGGGCCACCAAACCTTGATAGTCAGGGACTGACATTAGGCACTGCAATATTTACTCCAAGTGCTGACCTTCCTTTTGGATATTAACATACACACGTTGGGCGACTAATACATGTTCACACATACACCAGCACTGCCACAGGTATGCACACGCACACAAGTATACATACACTGATTAACACGAGAAAGAATTAACTAAATAAATCAGTTGTAAATATACATAAGATGTAGAATATGGTCGGCCAACCTTATTGATGTTAAGCTTTTGCAAGTATGAATTCCAGCCTTGACGATATATTTCATATAAAGAACTAAAGCAGCGCCCGTTTCGATCAAACCCAAGGGAGAGATCTCGTGGATGGCGCCAGCCTAAACGTCATAGTAAACTCCAGAGATGGCATAACAACTGAAATAAGCAGTCTCCTACTGACAAGATCAACTTATAAATCACTTCACCAGCCACTTACACATAAAATGGAAGTGAACCTAACAATACTCAATGATAGCCAGATTCGCTATCCGAATTTTTTACATGTTTCTAGTTAGAATTTATACTAATAAGTGACACATAAATAACGTAGTAAGGAACTCACTTAGGGTTTTCTGCCGAATTGCTCCACTTGAGACTGGAATTACCGTCCAAAGGGTCTGTTGAAAGCTGGCAATCACTCCTTGTCCACTGTATGTATCTCCGTAGACGTGCTATAAAAAGGATTTATAAAAATTATGATACAGGTTAGGTGCAATGAAAGATGGGAAAAAGCTGATTTATGGAAAACAAAAATTTATAAGTGTAATGATGCAAAGAACTATTCATTTGTTATCATGAGTCGTGAGAAAGTGCGATTAAAGAAGCTTTACTCTCATAATATGAAGCATTTATCATTCCAACCAGTTAAAAAGCAACGCTTAGGCAGATCATTTAAATACAGAATACTTTCCCAGTTCAACAAAATAACCAGTTGAGAGTTAGTTGTCTCAAACGTTACACTGTCAATTGTAATCAATTAAAAGGACAAATAAATGCCTTAAACTCATGCGAAATACAATCGAGTTACTGTCCTAAACATTTTTATTGAATCCGAGGAAACGTAACTATGCAAAAAATAGGCTTTCTAAAATCGTTCAGGATTTCCCTCTCATTTCAATTTATGGTTAATATAAGAAGCTTGACCCAAAAAAAGATATGACCGAGACTGTGTATGTCCATGAACAAGTATAGTTGAGATAATGAGATGCTAGCTTGTAAGTGTATAAGTCAAGTTACGAAACCACATGTCCTAATCTCTCAGTTTAGGGTCATTAAGGCTTAGGCACTCCAGGAAAGGTATGACTGGATGGCGACTCATCACTCTCTTTTTCTTTCAATCTATCGATCAACTTTCTAGCACCATTCCCAATATTCAACGTATTCTCTAATCTTTTATATCAATAGCCTCTATTATCTTCATTTTAACAGCAGACGTATCATAATCAGCAAGCCAACTAGTTCGAGACCATTCTATCTTACAACTAGTTCTGACCACTAGATCAAGCTTCCTTTACAAGCATTTATGTGTTCCACTAATCCTTGTAGAATAGGACAGTATGTCCCACCAACATAAGGGCAACCAAAGGAGCACACAATTTTTTAGCAGCAGGATCTCGATAATGGGTCATATTTCTCTGTCATTACAGAAGAAAGTGTGAGGGTTTCTTTAGACATTCTTTTTATCCCCAACTTTCTAACTAATACGCCTATCTTTTTAGAAAGAATGCATAACGGCAAAATTATGACATGAGAAAAGAGATCTCAGCATGTCTATCCTTGACTAATTATTATCCGTCTGAAAATGTATTACTTAGTAAATATATATTATTCTAAAATAGGTACAAGGTATAATTATTTTCGAGGAATAGATCTGCCAGTCAAATGCTTGTTATATGCTAGCCTCATACTCCTAT